TGTATGTATGTATGTATGTATGTATGTATGTATGTATGTATGTATGTATGTATGTATGTATGTATGTATGTATGTATGTATGTATGTATGTATGTATGTATGTATGTATGTATGTATGTATGTATGTATGTATGTATGTATGTATGTATGTATGTATGTATGTATGTATGTATGTATGTATGTATGTATGTATGTATGTATGTATGTATGTATGTATGTATGTATGTATGTATGTATGTATGTATATAAATATGTGTGTATGTATGTATGTATATTTGATCAGCAAAACTTTTGTTGTTCCATCTAGTTATTACAGTTTTTAAATGGAATGTATTCATAAAATTTACCACAAAAATTATATATATTAGATTTAATATAAAAAAATAAGTTCAAGAATATTTTATGTTTCTAAAAAAATTGAAATTAAATTTTCTAGAATTTTTTTAACATCAGTATATTTAAAGGCAAAATGTCCATAGTTCAATCAGCTTGTTATGATCTCACATTAAGATTTGATTAAAATTATATATGGAAGTTTTGTAAATTTTATATTAAGATTTGTTATTATTGTTACTATTAGACATGCGGAGGGTGTAAAATAAGGAAAAAAAAGCAAAAGTTGTTGCTTACAAAGATATGCATTTTTTTGATTGACAAATTCCAAAGAAAATCAAAAGGTCTCATTATGCAGTAATATTATTTTATAAATTTAAATTAAAATTACAACAAAAATCACTCTAAGAGTGGAAATAAAAAATTATCAGAAAGCACCATTCTTTCATTTTACGCTTGGTATCATCTAAAGGTCCAAAAGCAAGACATAAAAACTTAAATGAAAATATCTGTGACCACAAAATGTGTTAAATAAATTTTGTCAAAATCAGGAAAAAACCAATGGAAAAAAATGATCGCAAAAAATTGACAAAAAAAAGTTCAAGTTTGCTAAGAACCACATGACATGGTATACAAAACAAAAAAAAATATTTTTTCCACAAAAAAAGATTCAATGATAAGTCTGATGTTATAAGTACTTGTTACATGATATACCAAAAAAAAAAGTATTGCTATGAGTCATATAATTGAAGGAGGGACAGTTGTGGTATGGGGTGCATTTTGTTTTCACAGCAAAAATCCAATATGTATAATTACACCAAAAATAAATGGAAGAAACTAAGATTTTTATTTAGTAAGATTATTTTATTTGAGTTTAGTAAATGTGTATATACTGAGAATTGAATTTAGTAAATATGTATATGCTTTAAGAATTTATTTTTTTCTTTTCTCTAAATAAATGAAAAAAATTAAATGAACTTATTCATTACTTTTAAAAATTAAAACATGTCTCTCTAGCATAAATAAACCAACTAGAACTTCCGCAATGATAAAATAATAAAAACTTTATTAACAAAACTCTACTTATCCTGTTTTCAAATTTAAAAAAAGTCTTTTTATCTTAAAATCTTAAAATGTATAGCAACAGTATTAACATCCAATGACGAGATGACTTTCTATTTATGGTCATCATAAAAACAATATGATTTGATTATATTATTTATAATTGTAATTTTCAATTTATAATATTTATGATTGCACTATATGATTTTTATATATAAATTGGTATTGCAATTTTTGGCATGTTGGGATTATCTCACCCTTACTCCGTGTACATACATCAACTGACTATTTAAGCCAGCTAATAAAGGTTTATTCGAACCAATAGATATTCCATTGCACAATCCTCATTATGCATGCATGTATACTGCCAATGTTAATTCAGGTGAGAAAGGGGGTTTAAAAGCATAACAGGTCATGAAAAACTTTTTTGACAGGAATTAATGTTAAGTTATCTCTGCAAATAAATTTACAAGGAGGTTAGTAATAGTCTCATTTTGAAGCAGTGCTTAAATTGTATTTGAAAAAACCAAAAATATATATATTTTTATTTTATTTAATAATTTTTAAACAATGGCAAAGTATGAAAACATTAAGAACAATTTGTACAAATTTTAGGTAAATAACCTTAACTGTTTACACTTAAATTAATCTATTGAAACTAACAGATCATTGAAAAAAAAAAAATTGTGGTTGCCTTGTTATAATTGCATAAAAATCCAACATTTTATATATTAAAAAAAAGTTTTACTATTTTTCTAGCGTTGCCAGAAAGCTAAAATGTCATTAAAGTTACATTTCAAAGATTTTAAATAAACAAGCCAAAATCAAATATCATAAAAAAAGTAAAAAACTACATCTAACTAAAATTCAGAAGAGGCAAGCAAGGCCAAAGTGTTGAAAAATGTTAGAAGAATATAAAAATACCCATTTTGTTTTAGACGATATATTGTTCTTTACTTTAACTAACTTGTCGCAGCCTGACAACTCTGGTTTTTATACAAGTGATATTAATCTGACTCCCCAACATATAATGTTTGATTTTAATACCAAATATGAAAAAAAACTATTAGTTTGGTATTTCATTAAAAGGTGTCTAAAAGTTGTTTTTTATTCCTTCAGAAATAGCAGTGAACCAAACAGTCTACCGGGAAGCCATAATTAAAAAGTATTTGGTGCCTTTTATAAATAAATTTTATAGTACAGGTGAGTACATATTTTAGCCAGACTTGACATCTGAGTAAAAAATCAATTTTGTACCAAAATCGATTAATTCTGCAAATGTCCCTAAATCAGGGCCAATATAAGACTTTTAAGGAAACTTAAAAATAAAGTCTATGAAGGCGATTGAGTAGCAAAGAATCTTGATGAGTTGAAATCTAGAATTATCTACTGTCTTGGTAAAATGGTTCTTGAGTTTATACAAAAAAAATTTTGAATGTTAGGAAAAGACTTGACCATAAGAAGGTGTCTTTTTTTTTTTTTTCCTCTTCAAATACTAAAAAAAAGACATATTTTTAAAATATTTTTAGGTTATGTGTTTTAAACAAAATTTTTTGTTCTAAAAATAGGGCTTTTGATCCAGTCCAAAAACTTATTCATAATCCTAAAATATATTTTTACATTTTCTTTTTTCTTATTCTGAAATTTCATTAATTTTCCTTTGTTTTTTGTTTTGCTGTTGTAAAAAGCATCTTCAATCATGGAAGTCACTGCAGTAAATCTCAATTCTCAACTGAGTCAACTCACGGCTGTTACGGAGATTTGTAACTGTTGTTGTATTAGTATAAAAATTATTCTCAGTTTCTTTTTCTTTCTTTCCAATGGCACATGATTTTAAAAATTCATTAAACTTAAAACATTTAGTTCTGCAACAAATTTGAGTTGGCTACATAACTACAGGTTAGTGTCATGAGATAACTACAGGTTAGTGTCATGCTTTAAACATCTTCTTTATGACTTTAAATCTGTTAGGGAAGCCAACATATTTTTTCTTAATCTTTAAAAATTTTTTAAATAACAAACAACAGAAATTAACTTGTTGGAGGAAAGCAATAAATTTTATGACAACATTGACCACATAGTGCAAAAAGAAGCAGAAGCTAAAACAAGTAAAGAAACAATAATTTCTTTACTTGTTTCAGGAAAGGAAAAATTATGCATTGAAAAAACAGAAAAAAATTTTAATATAATAAGATTAGTAAGATAATACTTTACATTAGAAAACTAAGATATCTGCTGCTAGTGACATTTGTGTATTTGTGTATTTGTGCATCAAATAGTTTATGCAGAACTATTATTGGAAAATTTTAAATTCTTTTAAAATTGTGCTGACAAAAGCTTTCAAATAAATGAAGTCTTGGAAATGTTCATCGGTTTTTTACCCTCCCAATTTTCCTATAAAGATGGCTGATCTGATCAATTACAGCAAAGTGGAGTTGTCAACATTAATAAATCACTATGGAAAAGTCCATAAAAGTTATCAATTCGAACAAATGGAGCAAGAAGACAGAGATCCAAAGAAAACATAAGTTGAATTTAAGGGTTTTAAATTTTTTCATATTTTTAACACAAAATAAATGTAAAAATATGTTTTGATCATGAGCAACTGATCAACAGCAACAGCAACAAGAGTTTAAAAAAAACAATATGTTTTAAATATATATATATATATATATATATATATATATATATATATATATATATATATATATATATATATATATATATATATATATATATATATATATATATATATATATCAAGAGTCTCAAAAAAACTTTAAATCTCACTTTTTCCTGGTCTTTAGTGTCCAGGAGCTCTAAAAATGTTCAATGACTTATGATGTACAATAAGAAAAAAACTCATGAGATTTAATGATATGGAACCTATTTTTTTTAGCCTGATTCCTTGCCATCATATAAATACCACTATGCTTGCTGCTTAAGCATTCTATCATCTCTTATTCAACTAATCAAAACAAAATCTTTTGTGATTTATCATTCAACAAATTTAAATTATTTTACTGAAACTGCTTTTTTATGCTTAAAAAACTTTTATTCATCTGGTCTTTTCCTCAAACATCATTGTTTGAGGAAAAGACAAGGAAAACCTTTATTCATCTGGTCTTTTCCTCAAACATCATTGTTTGAGGAGAAAATTTAATACAGTCTTTTTGTTTTTCTGACTTTTTACATTTATCTGTCAAATGTTCTTATGTTCTTTAACTATCTTTTTTACTTTCTGAAGATATTAGCTTTCAGCCTTTGGAAAAAGTTTTGTAAAATGTATAAATTTTTTTTGAAAATTGTGAAACTTTATTTATTTTAGTTTACTTTACAATTAGCTAATTACTATTTAAAAAACCAAAAAACCAAAAATGCAAACAAGCAAAAAAAAGCTTAAATATAAATTAACCTACTTATTAACTAAATTAATAATTAATCAGTCATTTTTTCATAGGAGCTTATCTCTTTTAAACTATCCCTTGTCAAAAAATACTATGAAAAAAACTAAGAAAATTTTATATAATTATAAATATAATTAATTTAACATTATAATACCTAAAAATATTTAATAAAAAGAACTAAATATAATTTTCTTTTTACCATCCACTATATAAAACTCAGTCCAATTGGTTGGATTACAGTAAACAAAACTATCATCGATGCGCATATCCAAAAAACAATCTTGAGAGTCATTGTAAACAATTAAATATTTTAGACCTAAAACGAAAAATTATTATTTCAAAAAATTCTGTGAATAAAACTGGACAAAAAAAAAGAACAATGTAATTATTTTTTAATTAAAAATGTAAACTAATTAGGAAAGGTGTTACTTTTTATCAAAAAACTACTTTCATTAGACAAAAATAACAATATTCAAAATCTGTATTTTTTATATTTATTGTTAGTAAGTGTTTATATGTATAATATTAATATACATATTATATACTTTTATGTATAGTATTACTATTAGTAGGTATTTTTATATTTAATAAGAAACTCATTAAAACTATTACCATACTTTATTTTCTATTTTTTGTAAATAACTTTTACTTAAAGTGCATTAAAAATATATTTAAAATATATATATATATATATATTTATATATATATATATATATATATATATATATATATATATATATATACATATATATATATATATATATATATATATATATATATATATATATATATATATATATATATATATATATATATATATATATATATATATATATATATATATATATATATATATATATATATATATATATATATATATATATATATATATATACTAATAAAGGTACTTGCATATGTTTTACATAGAAACTCATTAAAATTATTGATATGATAATTTGATTGATAATAATTCATTGGTATTAATCCTTTTATCAATAATAACTTTGTAAATAACTTATTTTTAAAGTATAAAATGCATGAACTTAACTGTCGAATTAAAAAATAAAGAATACTGTTAATGTTTTCTACCATGCAATCAATAATTTAATTTTTTATTTTAATTTAAATGAATTAATATTTTCTAAAATGAGGTAAATCATAAAATAGCCATCAAAATTTGTGGGCTTTAAGCTAAACATTTTTTGGCCCTCTCCGTTATTATTAAAAACCATTTAAAAAATAAAAAAAAATAGGAAATGGTGTATGATTTTTTATTTGTTATAAAGTTGGTCCAATAGCTAATTTGTAAGAAAATTACTTTAAAAATATTTTAAATTTGTAAGATAATAGTTTCTTATGCTGTAATGAAAGTTGATTCAATGGTTTTCTTTTTAAAGCCCATTTGATTCTTTGACATTTTCAACCTTCGGAATTAGGAAAAGTGAGGTCGACAATAATTTGCCGACCTCAATCTTTTAAAAGATTGAGGTTGGCAAAAAAAAATTGATACAAAGGTCTAACCATAAAACATAGAAACGAGGTCGGCAATATTTGTCAACCTCAAACACCTTTAGGTCAACAGTTAAGTCAGCATTGCCGAATGCTGACCCTAATTCCGAGGGTTGCATTTGTCATATGTCTAAAAGTAGCAAGGTTATCAGTTACAAATAGAATTAGTTGATGTATCAGAGATATATCAGTGTACAAGATATTTGGGTAGAAAAGAATCAGACTCTAAAATACCTGGAGCAAGTAGTGAGGATATAGGTAGATGCTAAAATATCACAAATTTTTTTGTCAATTTTTATTGATTCTGTGAATTAAAAAAATATGCCATGTTATGGTATAAAAAAATACCTGTTTAAAAACTGTAAATATAGTATAACTGTTTAAAAACTGTAAAATAAGTGCTTAAATTATGTAAACTTATTTTATTACCATTAGTATTAAAACTAATTAACATAATTTGAGCACTTGTTTTCTCTTTTAGCAGAGATAAACAAATGTAAATACGGGTTGAAAAGGAGGTGTTTTCCACTACCTTGAAAATAAAAAAAATAATAAAATAGTAAAACTAATATGGATAATTTTTAATCTTCGTACAAATGAACTACTTCTACTTTGACATGTTATGATTCAGCTTAACAAAAAAACTGCATCGAAAAAAAAATAACTTGCAGTTAAATCAATTTTAAAATCAAGAGGAGATTTAGAAAACAGAAAGACTAATGTAAGTAGTAGAAAGCATCATATATACATAATAAAAATGCTTTTTGATCTAATTAATTTGAGTTTGGACGTACAAGAAACCTTTAATTACATGTTTATTGTCAAAGGATGAATTTTTAAAATACAATGATTTATTTAACAAATTTATAACATATTGAGTAAAATATTGTTATAAACTTGTTAAATAAATCATTGTATTTTAAAGATTCATCCGTTCAGCTATTGCACGGAACAAGAGCCTCTCAATCGGTATTTGAAAAAGATAGAAGAGATGGGTTCATCAGAGCAACATTAGTACATCAAGAAATCATGCTCATGAACCAATCAAAAAAAGATCTGTTTAAATTAACTTAGGCAATATAATTTTTTTAGATGTTTTGTTTTGCTTTGGGATATTATTTATGATCACAGTTAATAAACTTTAAACATTAAATATATTGTATCTATTTAATAAGATTTTATTTAGAACCAACAAATTTTTGACCCTTCAGAAAGTTGGCCAATTATTGTCAAAATTATATTATAACTATATTATAGAGTAAATATATTATATAAAGAACAAATAAGTTTTTTCCTCTTCTAATATCCTAAACCAAACATGGTATACTTATGTGTTTTTTTTTGTATGACCTTGTAAAGAGTAGCTCCCAAAATTATGTTTTATTTTAAAGTTTATATTATGTTTGTTGTTTTTTGATAATTGCATCACCATAGGCTAATGAAAAAAGAGCAGAAAAGTACTAATTTAATGCATTTTTAGTAAAATTGACATTTTTTAAATGCCTAGGGGCTTTTACAAAACACACTTTTTCAGAGAAAAAAATTAATCACGCTTCTTCCAATATCATATAACATAATTAAAATATTGCGCACACTATCATTTCTAATTTATTCATATTTATATATTTTATTGTAAAATCAATAATGGTAGGCAATTTTTCTTATGTCTACCGTGTTTGTATGGTATTAAGAAAAGTAGCACCAAATATTATGTTTTATTTTTATGTCTACATTATGTCTAATTGTTTTTTGATAATTGATTTACCTAAAGCTAATATAAAAAAGGTTGAAAGTTTGATGAGTTTTTAGTACAATTAATATTATTCAAACATCCTGCACTAGACAAACTTTTTAATCAAAAAAAAAATTATTCATTTCTCTTCTAATATACTAATGCATAAAAAAAATATTAAGTATGTGCTTCAATATCCAAAATTTTAAAAGTACGACCCAAGAATGTGATTATTGGAGTCTTTGCGAATCAAAGGATAGTAGCCATTATTACTTATTTCTAAAGAAGGAATGAATTTAAATTAATCTCATCAGCAAGTCTAGTGATTTTTGAAAGAGAAAAGATTTAACTGATACTTGGAAGAAATATTTGTGGAAAATATATTGAAAAAGTTAGTTGGTGATGATGGCTTTTTATGTTTAGTATTTTTGGATACTTTAAGCACGGTTTGAGTTAAAAAGGAATTTTAAGTTAAAGTTATTTTACCATTTCGATGAGTCAGTATTTCATTTGATGGAAAAACAAATTATTCAAAAAGTTAAAAAACTGAAGTTTGTTCATCTGTTATAGTTAGAAGATTCTATCCATAAACTCTCTTTAGTAAATCTTTTCACAGTAAAATCAGAAACTCAATCATTTGTTGATGAAAAAGTTGTTCCTGATTTAAGTAATGATCAAAGAAAATTCATTACAGGTCATTAAAACAACTCAACACAAATTCTTTTTAAAATGATTGAGCTGAAAAAACTGCAAAACAAAACGATACATGAACTTATCTTTAAAAAACTTAGCTGGAAATTCAAATTACTGTTTACAGGATAGTTTTACTGCATAACTGTGTATGATGAAAATAGAAATAAAATCTAAGATGGCTAAATAAAACTGCATATTTGTTTTCTGCTAGCTTCTTGTTTTGATATCATTTTCATAAAAATGTGTAACATTTTTACAAACAAAAGAAAAAATTGTAACAAAATAGTATCTAAAACAAGAAAACTTTTGAACACCCATCGTATATATATATATATATATATATATATATATATATATATATATATATATATATATATATATATATATATATATATATATATATATATATATATATATATATATATATATATATATATATATATATATATATATATATATATATATATATATATATATATATATATATATATATATATATATATATGTGTGTGTGTGTGTGTATGTGTGTGTGTGTGTGTGTGTATATCTATATCTATATGAGTCTAGCCAAAAAAGGGTGAATTTATTGCTGAAAATGTCACTTAAACTTATGTTTCAGGGAAAACAAGGTAAAAAAATTGCTTCAACTTTTAGGTCTGATTTCTGCGTATCAGTAAAACAGTTTGTATGAAAAATGTTTACAAGATGTTGAGAATTCTATACCAATTTTAAAAATATTTAAAAACCTATCAGAGTTGACCAGCAAAGGAAAATAAACTTGTTTTACTTACGTTACATCTCTTACATTATCAATTGTGAATTTTTTTTATCTATTATTAACAGTTAGAGTTACATAACAAAAGAATTGCAAAAGTATTGAACTTATTCATTAAAAATAATTACCTAAAAAATTTTTAAAAACTGGTAGCACTCTTTATGAGTGATTTTTTATAACATTCATGAGGGGTATATGTGGTCCTTTGCGACATGAGTGAAAGGGTTAAGGGCTGTCCGTTAATTATGTCAACAAAATAGGGGAGAGGAGGGCACTAAATTTTTTTGACAACTGTTGACAAAGGGGAGGGAGGAGGTCAAGAAAAGTTGACGTCAACACTTTATTTTTTTTTTAACATGTTACTTTTTTTTATAAATTTAATTATTTTAAAAAAAGGAAAATTAGGCAGCGTTTGCAGTCTTGTGTTACATACTTGTTCAACCTTCAGTATTTTAATAAAGCTATTTATATTTCTACTTTTTAAAAACCATGTTGTTCTTTAAAATGACCCAACATACAGAACTAAACAACTACACACAAGACGTTTACTCGTAATGCTATTATTTTTTCAAAGTTATTGTTGTCTCAGTTCGCTGTGCAAACAAAA